ATAGAGAGGTGAATAGGAGTTCTCCAAATTTGGAGAACTCCTATTCACCTCTCTATAAATGGAGAATAGAAAGTAATTTAGAGGGTGGTTGGAGAGCCCTTTCTCTATTTTACTCTCCAAATATAGAAAATGGAGAGTAAAATAGAGTGGGGTTGGAGATGGTCTAAGAAAATCTCATTTGAGAAATTATCTGTTTAATTCACTAGACCATTCGGCTTTTAGCTAAAATAAAGTATAATTAAGGAGTCCAAAGTGTGCGTGGGACAGGTTGGATCCAAGTGGATAGCTGTGGCCTGTGGCTGATCATCAATCTCACATGCTATTATTGGCATCGAATCCGAATAAATAAGTTTGTTCCTCTAGAGCCTGTCGGCTGCAAGTGGTCAAAGTGGCCTTCTTCCAATTAATCATTCCTTAGTACGCTTTTTAACATTTTTTTTGGTAATCTATAATGAAAAAAATGCAGTGGATCCACTTGAACCTTGTTTTTTTGATAATCTATAATGAAAAAAATGCATTGGATCCACTTGAACCTTGTTTTTTTGGTAAACAACAAAAGTTGATTATTACAAATTGTGAAATACCATTTTTTAAAAATCAAACATCAATTTTGTAAAGGAAGCAGAATTATGACTCTCTAATAAACATGTCCCTTAACGGCAAGCAAATATAACTTTCTATTTGCCTTGGAAGTAGACTCCACATAAGTTATATATGCAATGTCAGTTAATTTTTGTTTAGTCACATTCTATGATATTCGGTTAAGTTGGGTGGTATTTACGCTACAGACTAAAAATTTAATAACTTTAATATAATAAAAATTAATAGTTTTTTTAGATGAATAATTTTGATTGATTTTTTAGTTAATTACTTAATTTTGACTAATGCTTTAAGATGAAGCAATTCTATGTATATTAACACTTATTTTATATTTTCTTAAAGTTTTTGTGTTATTTATATTATTTATTATATTAATTAATATAATTTCTAAAATTTAAGATCTTCCATCCATGCTTACTCCAACACTTGAGGCGTACGCCTAAGCTCGTATCAAATGTACTTGCTCCCAACACCTTGAGGCTTATGCCTAGGCTCGTATCAGATAAATTGCCCCATTTTATATCTGCGTCTCCTTAAAGAAAAATAAAATGACGTAATCCAATTACATTAATAGTAACCCTCTTTCTATGTTTAAACCAAAATGAAATTAGGTGACGAGAAGGCGAGGTTAAAAGGAGAAAAGTTTGTTAATATTATAGGTAAGTAATTTCGTGAAACAGTTGCCCAAAGTTTTGCAAAGTATATCTGTTGGTGAAACAGACATTCTTAACAAGCCAACAAAATCCACCGCCCGCCGTCACCACTAGTCTTGCCAATGCAATAGTGCTCTGTGTGTTTTGTTTGTTTCTCCAACACTGGAAACTGTTTATGTAATTATTTTTGAAAGGTCACCAAAATGATAAAAAAATGAGTGACGTTTCAATATTGTCTTCCGTGCTATATTTGGCTTTTATTTTATGTGCGACCCTTTTCTCTTGATCAAGTTGGTCCTTTTGTTTATTTATATTTATTTATATCATACACTACCTAAAACAAAACATCATTGAATCAAAATATATATGGAGTAATTTTTTCTAATCTCCGACCTCAGAGTTTTTAATTTGTTATTCATTACGGATGAAAAGGTGAAAGATAGACAGACAGGTCCTTTGACTTCCCCCAAGAAAGATTTAGAATCTGAATTCTCAAAGGCAATTTTGATCTAACAATGGTTCGTTTGAAAGAGAGATTCAGTTTGTTCTTCAATAACAGATGGCTTGTATTCGTAGCTGCAATGTGGATTCAGAGTTTTGCTGGCATTGGGTATTTATTCGGCAGTATTTCTCCCATCATTAAGAGCTCTTTGAATTATAATCAGAAGCAAATTGCCAGATTGGGTGTCGCTAAGGACTTGGGCGATAGTGTTGGATTTCTGGCTGGGACTTTATCCGAAATCTTGCCTTTATGGGCTGCTCTTCTTGTGGGTGCTGTTCAGAACTTCATTGGTTATGGCTGGGTTTGGCTCATCGTCACCGGCCGATCTCCTACTCTTCCTTTATGGGTTGTGAGTACCTATCTCTTACCCAATTTCTTTATTGCTGATTTCAAATCTTTCAACTTTCTTTGTGTATAATTTTTAATTGAAATCTATTACAAATGCTCTGATTTATTATTGGATCAACTAGCGGTACTGAGTTCTTACCGTTTTAGGCCAATGAGGTTATTGATTTATCGTCTACATTGGGATTCAGGGGTTTATAAGTCTAATTGATATCTCATTTATGTCTTTCTGAACTACTAATCTGCTTTTAGAGTACTATCAATAGTTTTAGTCAAATTTGGTTGTGGTGCTTCTGAATTTTGCAATGTGATCAATGGACTAGTTACAGTAATCCATTCATAATTATGTATTCAATTTGAACTCAGGTAGACGCGAAGAACCTGTTGCTCTATCTACATACCCTTCATAGATCTGATATTTCTAGTTTGAAGAACTTCTAATATAATTAAACCACTCCGGATTAAGGCTGAAGAGCAAGGGGTTTTACTTGTGAACCTAATAATTATCAACTTGCCTTCTTTTCCTCCCATCATCTATCATTTCCTATTAGAGTTTGTCAACATTAAACCCGATTTTTACCATTTTCCTAGTCCCCACGGGGAAGAAAAATGCTTGTTAACTATTGTGGAATTGAATGCCCTTCTTGCAGTACTGGTTATTCTCCTGAAGACGTTATTTATTACTATTATGTTTTGACGGATCAAAATCGCTTGTTTACTGCCAGCTATGATGATTTGGCGTGTACTTCTAATTTGTCAAAGAATTGACTCATTTCAGCTATTTCTCTGCAGATGTGCCTTCTTATATTTATAGGAACAAATGGAGAAACCTACTTTAATACAGCCGCACTTGTCTCAGGTGTGCAAAATTTCCCTAAAAGCCGTGGCCCTGTGGTGGGAATACTGAAGGGATTTGCTGGGTTGGGTGGTGCAATTATGACTCAAATATATGCACTGATCCATTCCCCCGATCATGCTTCACTTATATTTATGATTGCTGTGGGACCGGCAATGGTGGCTATCGCCCTCATGTTTATAATCAGGCCTGTTGGTGGCCACAGACAAGTCAGACCATCTGACGGATTCAGTTTTTCATTAATTTACAGCATTTGCCTCATTTTGGCTTCTTACCTGATGGGCGTCATGCTTGTTCAAGACCTCATTGATGTTAGCCACACAGTCACTACAATCTTCACAGGGATTTTGTTTGTTCTATTGCTTATTCCTGTGGCGATTCCCATCTCATTGACTTTCTCGCAAGAAACTAGAGTACCATCAGAAGAGGCTCTTTTATCTGAGTCACAAAAACAAGATCCTGGAGTATCTGGACATGATCAGGAAATTATATTTAGTGAGGTTGAAGATGAGAAGCCTAAGGATGTAGACTTGCTTCCAGCATTAGAAAGGCAAAAAAGAATTGCCCAACTGCAAGCAAAACTAGCCCAAGCAGCTGCAGAGGGAGCAGTGAGGGTCAAAAGAAGACGGACCCCTCATAGAGGGGAGGACTTTACCCTAATGCAGGCTTTGATAAAGGCAGACTTTTGGATTATATTCTTCTCACTACTTTTTGGTTCTGGATCTGGTTTAACCGTGATTGATAACTTGGGCCAGATGAGCCAATCTTTAGGATATGATAACACACATGTATTTGTTTCCATGATCAGCATATGGAACTTCCTCGGTCGTGTTGGGGGTGGATACTTTTCTGAAATAATTGTGAGGTACATAACATTCACTTCTTACATATTTTGACAATATTAACTGAACATCATAATGTCCTTCGTTTCAATGAATATTTTTCTCATGCAAGCTTGTCCTATTGACATACAGAGATCATGCCTACCCAAGACATGCAGCCATGGCTGTTGCCCAAGTTGTAATGGCTTTCGGGCATTTCTTCTTTGCCATGGGCTGGCCAGGGGCTATGTACATTGGTACTCTTCTGGTAGGGCTCGGTTATGGGGCTCATTGGGCTATCGTGCCAGCTGCTGCTTCCGAATTGTTTGGCTTAAAGAATTTTGGGGCTTTGTACAATTTCCTCACTATTGCGAACCCAGCTGGTTCACTAATATTCTCAGGTGTTATTGCTAGTAGTATATATGATAGTGAAGCTGAAAAGCAAGCTCAACAGCGTCATCCCGGCCAATGGAATGGGGCATCTTTTTTATCAAGTTTTCTAGCTGTGGATGAACCTTTAAAGTGTGAAGGTGCCATATGCTTCTTCTATACTTCCTTAATACTTTGTGGACTCTGCATCGTTGCTTCTATTCTAAGCATGATTCTGGTTTACCGAACAAAGACTGTATACACTAGTCTTTACGGAAAATCTCGTACATAATTCATCCGGCAAGTGAAAGCTTGGATAGAAGTTTGAGTAATTTGCACAGATACTTTCAACCAGCTTATGGATCTAAGAGCATTTCGTTGAGGTGACATTGTTAGCCATAACCAGAACACTTCCTCCAGAATGTGAGCAAGACAATGGAGATGGCAAAGCTGCCTTTTTTTGCTCTTAGAAGCTTTTCCTATTTATGTGAGATAAATGTTTGTATTGCAATTTTTGATTGGTGTATATTTCCATTGTCATTCAAACTTGAAATTGTTACATTTTGGTTGTCAACCATTTCATTTATTGATTGTTCATTATTTTTCTTTTGATCGTAAATGGCTTTACGCTGCACAATGTAGAGGTTCTAGTCCAGTGACATTGACAACTCGCTATATTTGGAAGAAATTCATAAATTATGATATCTAATGCTATAGGATGGCATCTACCTAAATACAATTACCAGAAAACCCAAGTAGATTAACATGCATAAAATTGACTAAAGTTCATGCTTGTTGATGATGTAAATTATTGCACCAGGTGCAACCATGTTGAAGTCAAAACTGAATTCAGTAACACAGAGGTTGGATTCATTTAAGTGTTCAATACAAGAATGATTGCAAAATTCGAAAGAAATCCAATCTCTAGGCCTTATACACGTTATTTATTTAATCCAATTACATCAAATATTGCCAAAAAACAACAATAAACTATTTCCACTCTTCGGACTTTATAACATGGATTTACAAAATAGCATCTTTTTTCCTTTCATTGAAGGTAGAACATGGACCTCATGAGTTGAACCTGGTGCAGTCCAGTCTTATTTCACCTTGGTCACCAGTTTTGACACCAACCCTTCCGAGTTTTCTCATTGCAGTGACAAAAGCTCCATTGAAGTCGAAAGCATTATTAGCAAAATCACTAACAGTGCCTTGAGACGATTCATCAGTGAAGAGCACCTGATCTGAGGTGAACAAACCCTTTCCTTTAACCAGATTCTTGTAATACTCATTGTCAAAGGTTCGTGGAGTCGCAGGGTCCATGTTTATAGCGATGGATGGATCTACATTTTGAGGGCACATATCCTTAAGTTCTTTAGCATATTCTGGATCCAAAGAAGGGTCAACAGGGTTGGATGGGGTAAATGAGTAGAGACGGTTTGCAAAACGGTCACAATGAGAGAAGCCAAGTGTGTGAGCCCCTGAAAGAGCTATCATGTCAAACTGGCTGAGATTGTGGCTGGCAAACATAGTGTTCAGTTGAATGAGATTGAAGTCAGGTTCTGGCAATTTTCCAGCAACCCGAGATGCCTGGGAGATGAGCCCATCACGACGTCCCAATTCTACATTGTATGAAGGACCCCCTGCCTGAAATGAACAAGTCAAGTGTATGGTAAATGAAGAGAAAGAAAAATGTCAAAGCAAAAAGAAAGGGGTATGGCAGTGGATGGTTTCTGTGTCCTCGATTACCAGCACTACAACGTCTCTAGTGGCAATAGCTAAGATATCTGCACATGATACTACTCCAGGACACTGAGCCTCTACGGCTTGTTTTGCCTTTACCACAGTGTCAAAGCCATCTCCTGCAAGGGAAAGGTTATCCTTGGAATCCTTTTCCGCGTCTCCATTTGGTGAAGCTATCATAACAGACGCGTCACATCCCTGAGGAAATGTGCAAAAGAGACGAGAAATGAACAATTTTGGGAAGATGAAGAATGTCAATTTTTTTGCTGCCCACCAAAACAGGACCAGAATATTGTTGGTAGCAGCTATTCAAAGTATAGAATAAGTCTCTTGATCTCTTTTATGTTAAGAAATACTAATAATTATTCTTGCTTGTTCTAAAACTTAAACCATAATTCAAAGAACTAACTTGGGACACTGCGACATGAGTAACAGCTTAATTCTAGAGAGAAATTGTTGCAGAAGATTACCTCAACAAAGCAATCATGGAAAAAGAGACGCAAAGTCGCTGGAATAGTGACAAAAGTCTGGCTGAACTTTATAGACACAGCTTGCTGAACTATGAATTCCACATTAGGACAAGTAAAACCATAGAAGTTCTCTACTAGTTGCCCTTCAGCTCCGCCAAGAATCACTATGATTGCCAAGATCAACACATTCAAGCCCCTCAATCTCTCCATTTTTCACTTTCTTGATGAAAAAATTGATCCTTCTTTTTTCTCTCTTTTACTTTTCTCCCTTTACCATCCAATGACTTATAGTAGCAGAACAAACATATACATATATATACTAGTAGAAGAAAAGTAATCAGGAAGGTAAATGAAGGCTGATTCTTGTATCACTGATTTGTTACAGGTCGTTATACTTGTTCCAAGTGTGTCCTAGCTGGATGAGTGGAAAAACTTTCCCACATACAGTACAGTGTTTTTACTGAACCAATCAAACACGACGTCTGTCTTTTTTTTTAAAACGAGTATATAAGTAGTAAATTAATATAGTTTGATGTGAACATTGAATAGTGACTAATTTGTTGTTTATTTGATGAGCGTGGTGGGTGGACGGTGCACCATCTATTATATTGCAGCTTACCCAATTAACTACTTCCACGTGACTATTTCCATCTTCATACTTCATGTACGTTGCCTTAGTCTCTTAAGTATAAGATATTAATTCTAATTTTCTTCTCATTTATATTAAACTTGTGTCCTGATGGAAAATGTAAAGCAATTATGGATGATCGATCAAACACACAGAAGAATGCGTCCAGGTCAGATCTGACGGCTGAGGGAAAAGTAAATTTCAACTATATATTAAATCAAATTCTACTTCTTAAAGTTGGAGTATTTTAGTTGAATAATTGTGCTAATTGTTTACGTGATTGCGTGTTAATACTGTGTTTAAAATATATATGCTCTTATTAGCAATATTCAACGCTGTTGTTTGGTGATGGTGCATTCTTCTAGTTGCAATCCAATTTGATCTACTCCCACCTAGCAAGTTATTGAAACTTAGACAATGACACATTAACTAATCAAATAACAATAATTAAAATGATCCATATTTGGAAAAAGGCAATTGCGAGATAAAATAACAAGCTAGATATGTAGTATATTTTTCTTCTCCTCTAAATCACTAAATGCATACGTAATTAAATTGACTTGGCATCTCCAACACAATAAATCAAATAATTCATCCAACCTCAAGCCATTGATGGATACTGTTTCAAGTAAATGACTTTTATTTTTCAAATAAAAAATTGTGCAGTGCAGCTGGGGGGCCGGGAGAGACAAATGTGGCAGCTATTAGTTTATCCTCCCATTGCAATATCAACTACAATAATATTAATAATATATGGGGTTGTATCTATTGACAAAATCTTGAGAAGATGCACCTTCGTTGTGTACGGTATATTATCACGCAAAATATAACTCAAACTTGAAAAATAAAACGAAATTAAACTGTGATAATAGTGTAAAAAAGTTGTTAAGCAGGATATGTAATTATTTTTCGAGTCTCAATGAATTGTGAGCTGGCTTGTTAGAGTGAAAAATGCTGCTTAGGTGCATCTTCTGGCAATTCCACTTGCCAATTATATTTCCCCTAATCCAGCGACTCTATTTCTTGATATAACAAGGTTTTTTCTTATTACGTGTATTAGGCCATCAAATTAACGTGCATAACATAAAAAAAACATTTTTTTCTTATTGTAATTTCACTTTTATTGAGGGGTTTAGGCAGATTCCTATATCTGCATTAATATCCAAACAGAGAATATGAAGAGAAGGGGGAATAATAATGTAATAAAAGATCATCTACATTTGCAAAATTAACTTTACATTATTATTATTTTTTGTATAAAATATTTTAAGACTTTCGAGAAAGGCAAAAACGTCGCAAAACGGCAAAAACAGAGGTAGGGAATGAAATTCAAAATTAATGGCGATGGAGTTTGAAACGCAAACCCAATTAGGGTTTCCGTTCTGGAGCCCAACTCGTCGACGTTTTGGTCCTGATGATCCCTTCTTCGCTTACGGTAACATTCAAAGAGAGCTTCTCGCTAAGCAGGTTCGTTCCTTCTCCCTCCTCTCTATCCTCTCCATAATTTGAACTTGCGATCTATCTGTTCACTCTCTTTTTCTTCATTTCCAGGTTGCATTGGATTTGACTGAAGAAGAGAACCAGTTAGTTCAAAATACTATCACAGATGAGGAAATCAGGTATACCTATTGAAGCTCCTCCATAGTTTATCAGCTTTATATACTGAGAAACATCAAAAGACAGTGACATTAAACTATAATGTTGAAGGATATTTTAACAGAATTCAGGATCATGTTCATAATCAGAGTGCTCTTCCCTTTTTGTTGAGATTGAGGAAATATGCACTTATGTATTTTCTCTAAGAGTGAAACAAATCTGTGCTTTTAATGTGTTTGCTTGTAGCCTCAAGTACAAAAGAGAAGTTGGACTAGTTAGGATATACATTAGGACGTGGTTGCAAAATTCTTATTAAACATGCTTGGCAATTTTTTGTGTTGCAAAGTCCAGTGAAAGATCAGAGCCTTGATTATAGATTAAGAATAGGTGAGAATCGTGAGATGTTGGTCCTTAGATACTAATATCTTTATGATGTCAGTTGTCTTTACATGCCTTTTAATGCAGTAACCTGCGAAGGTCGCTGCAGTCACGAGTTTAATACTGGGCATTTCTTCCTAGTTGAATATTGTTGGCTTTTTATCAAACACTGTTACATACTCAAGCGAAGGGTATTGAACACTTCTTGGTATACAAAAAAGTTGAGAGGTGCATCCGCACAAGGAAGGTTAGGTGCACAAGCAAAAGGGAGATGGTGACAGAGCTGAAAGGGGAGAAAAATTCACCAAAAGAGTACTGTAATGTTAGTATATATTTATGAATTTTCTAATAAAGATAAGCTTAGGAAAGCAACGGGCAACGGCTCCCTCTTTTTTGTCAGTTCTGTGGTCACTCCAAAATTGAGAACGCAGAAGTTAAGGGATGGATTTTGTATCTTTATATCTAGATATTTACAGGAGCTGAAATAATTAAGAAGAAACTAGAGGCTAACTTTACAATATATCGGTTTCCACTTTCTGGTTCTAGTCAGGATATTAATTTGCATGAAGTTTTGCATAGATTGAATAATGACCTAGTTTTGTGTTCACTATGTGATACAATCACTATATCACTTTCTCAGATCTTCTTTGCCTAGCCACAATATGCTATAGTGCTCATTTGCACCTGCATTTACTGGTGCTGAGGTTCTTTTTTCTTCTTTATTACTGTAAAATATCAAGATCCTAATTATGTATTGTTTAACTTGTTATTTTTTTAATGGATGTAATATTCTTAGCTTGTTATTTTTCTGTCAATCTTGAGGTGATTTCTGGGTTTGTTTACTACAACAATTTTTTGGGAAATCTATTAATACAATACTAATTTCTGATAATATCGATTAAATGCTTGACAGCAATCTCTTCTGTCCAATCATTGGTTGTGGTGCACAGATGAAAAATCTGGATGACTTTGAAGACCACTATGTTACACGACATACTGCATCTTGCTCTGTCTGCTCTCGAGTTTACCCAACATCACGCCTGCTCAGCATACATGTGTCAGAGGCTCATGATTCCTTTTTTCAGGCAAAAGCTGCTCGTGGCTTTCCCATGGTAACATTTTATCTCATAGTTTTCTTTAGGATGTCCCATAGAAAATGAGGCAAAACCCCTTGCACTCTTTAAACACTGAAAGAGTGTTATTAGAATATACCTGAGAAGGAAGAAAGTTGAATCAGCAAAATGACACGATTCAACAACTGATGAATTGTTTGTTGAATCATCTAATTCGCGCTCGCTCTAAAAAAATAGACTATCCATACTATAAATAGAGAATCATCAAGAACTGCCATTTTCCAGAAAACACTTCTTTCGATAATAAATCAATCCTTGCACTCAAAAGAGATTTCTAAAACAAACAGTGGCTTGAGAATTAAGACTGTACCGACTTTAAATCTTGTATAATTTTTTTCTTCTCCCTATTTCAAAGTAAAGTTGTAGTCTGAATTCTCCAGCCATTGTTTATTTAAGAAATCTCTTTTGAGGGTAAGGATTGATTTATTATCGAAAGAAGAGTTCTCTGGCAAATGATAGTTCTTGTTGATTCTCTATTTATATTGTGAATAGTCTATTTTTAAGAGTGAGCATGAATTGGATGATTCAACAAACAGATCATCAGTTGGTGAATCATGCCATTTTGTTGATTCAACTTTCTTCCTTCTCATGTATATTCTAAATGTAGCATGCAGTTCCTGTTTGTTAAGGTAATAGCTGAAGGGATTGTGCAGGCACATACGTGAACAGTTTATGTGCATCGTCTGGGTTAATGTGGGGCTTATACATAACCCATCCTGAATTTGCATCATCATGCCCAATCCCTTCCCAAGGAGATAGAAGTTTGCATGTCTTTCCAAGTTTATAAGCTGCATGTTATCGGCCTTCTTGATCTTAGTGGTTGAGGAGTTTACTCCTGACCACTAGGTCAAGGGTTCAAGGCTGATAAACAGAAGAAAACCAACAGGATAGGTGTTCTAAAATACCTATTAAGGCATCTGTAAAATTGTAAAAATAAATAAATTATAAGCTGCATGAATCTTTGTTGCAGAATTGGCTCTTTGATTGTGGTTGGTCATGTATATATGAAGTCTGCATGCACTTGTATGTGTTTAGTCTGTTCAAAGAGAGTTATGAGTAACACTGTCTGTTTCGATCTTTTTTAAATGTCTGGATGTAGCTATTTACTGAAATTCTCGTTGTCCTGTAGTATGAGTGCCTGGTGGAAGGCTGTGATGTCAAGTTGAAAAGCTACAAAAGCAGGCAGCAACATCTAGTTGACAAGCATAAATTTCCAGCATCTTATGAGTTCTTCAGAAAAGCTCGTCCATCAAAGAAACAGAGGCAGAAACCGCATCATAAACAAGCATCGAAAAAGACTCAGGAGACGTCAAGTGCAATGCAAGTTGAGGAAGAAACAATAGACAATCTTGTTTCAGCAGTATCGAAATTAACCACTTCGGACTCTCCTTCAGCAATCAGCTTTGGCCGTAGTAGGGCTCGTGGATTGTCATTTGTGCCTCGTGCTGCTAATCGGCAGAGAGGACCAGTCACCTCAACTGGTGGAACAAAAAACTAGTGGCATGCCAATGGAATCTTGAAGCACCTGAAAATGTCAGGCTCATGTTATGAAAGATATGATTTGAAGCTGATTTTCGAGCATTTGCCTGCTACTGACATTGGCTACAACACAATGTGATGATGGTTCCAACATGTTAACCACTGCTCTTTATTGCATGCTCAAAATTTATTGGATGTCTTGTCAAA